AGATAGGCCTAAATAAAATGTTTTTAATTGTGTACCAGTTTAACGTTGAATATTATTTATGATTTTAATGAACAATCTTTATTTAAAAAGATGTAAATTATAAACACAGTGTGTGTATATATGATGTTACTTTACAATTGTTTTTATTAAATCATTCAAGCTGAATCCACCTACCAGACTGATTAAAGTTATAATTTTCCAGAAAATGTACTTCCAATAGGTACTTACCTCCTGTCACGTAAATTCTTGTTATTCTTGTTCAGTGCTGCTCTCTATATGCAAAAAAAAATGTTTTATGCCTGCCACAAGCCTTCTATCTCTCCTACATTGGAATTGACTGATTCCAATGCATTTCTCATGCAAATCATCATGTGTAAACCCTCCAACAACAGACTCTCATGATGCATGTGACTCCCTCTATTCAATTGTACCAAACTATCACTTCGAGTTTTGACAGAAGATGGAAGCACCAGTTTTCATTTGGGAAGCAGGGTGGGAAGTGTGAGAAGAGGTAAGTAACTGTCAGAAATACATTTTCAGTGTATAAAAATTATAATTACTGATACAGTACATTATCTCTTACATAAATAGCTAGAATCCCACACTGAAAACGTGAAGGGATCTGTGTGAGGGAAAGAAAGAAGCATCCTTCAAAAGTGTCCTATGGACACTCCCTAAGATGAGACAGTCAGATTCTAAGATCTGATGTGGAGAAATGCATCATTTTGTAAGTTCAAGCCGGTTTTGTGGAATTGCTCCAAAAATGTTGCACAAATGCTGAAAAGTATTCCATACTCCAGAGATTCCATTTTGCTTACAAGACCTCTGGCTTCTTGTCGCATGTTTGACTTTTCATCTGGATTGTCAGCAATGGTTTCCAATGCTGATTTTACTTTCTCGTATCAGCCGTAGCACTTGCGTGAGCAGACCACTGAGTATCACTAAGTCTCTTCACAGCTGCAAGATTCTTTCCAAGCTCACCCACAAGTATTTCCCACTGGTGGGTTGAAGCACTGAAGAAACTGTACAACTGTTCAACAAAATCAAAAAAGGCAGTAGCTTTTGGAACACAATACACTGCTGAATGACCGACAAGGTTCAACGAGTGAGCAAAGCAAGGAATATAATCAGCTACTGGATTTCTCTCAAGTATTTTACCTTGAAGACCATTATACTTACCACTCACATTGGAGGCATTGTCATGTTATCGACTTCTGCAGTTCTCTAAGTCTATTTTTTCTGTTTCTAAAAACATCAGAATACTCTCGGCAAGTTGTTCACCAATGTGACCTCTGCAATCAAAAAATTTGACGAATCTTTCAATAGGACCACTCTCACACACATATAAAAAAATGCAAAATGGCCAATCCACTTGTGAAATATCAGGGGTTGAATTCACAGCCATTGAAAAATATTTGGCTTCTTTGAGTTCTGAAATAATTTTCTCTAACATCTTTTGTCCAAGCATTTCAGTCACCTCATCGCATACTGTGGATAAAAGGTAGGACACAGAGCTATTATCCTTATTTCCATTCTTTTCAATATGATTTGCCAAAAAAGGATTGAATTGTGCTAGCAATTCTAGTGTCCCAAGAAAATTGCCATTGTTTGGTGATCCGATACACTCGTTGTGTCCCCTAAAGGCTAGTCCCGCTCAGCAAAAAATGTAATTGTAGCAACAACCCTTTCCAGAAGTGCTTTCATGTAATCAACGTTCTGACTGGTACTGTCGAGTAATCAAGCTGTTTACACATCCAATACCTCGAGATCTTGTAGTGAGGGTAATGGTCGCATCCTGATGACTGTTTTCATGACTTTCTAATCTTTGACTTGCATTTTTCCAGTCAGAGAAGCCATGCTTCGAAAAAGTATGGTATTCACTTAAATTTGAAAACAGTTCACAGTTAAAACAGAATGCCTTACCTGTGCTTGGAGAATACACAACCAACTTCTCTTGATTTTCTCGCCATTTGTAAGGGAGCAGTAAAACATGGACTTACTAAAGTAACATTTCTGTTTACCATCATATTTTATAATTTCACAATACTGGCATTCATGTTCCAACAGGCTTCACTCCCTGTCTTTAACCAGTATATGCGCATGTCTTCTGTAATTTTGTCAGGCCGCATGCCCAAATCACTCTCCATCAACTTCGATGACTTGTCTGCGATTTCTCCATCATCAGATCCGGAATGAACTTCACATTCCGATTCTTTGCCTACTTTTTCATCATCCACATCACTATCTACATCATCAAGTACTGCTTCTTTTGCTTCAATGTAAAGAAAAAAAATAATAATGAAGAAAATCCACTTCAGAAATTAAAGTATTAAAATCACAAATCACATGAAGAGCACCAAAAGAAAAATCCTCTGAAAACAAGTACGAGAAATAATAGTTCAGTAAAACTGAATAGAGGGAGTTACATAAATCATGAGAGTGTGTTGCACTCTTATTGGTGGAGGGTTGAAGCATGATGATTTGCATTGGAATCAGTCAATTACAATGGAGGAAAGATAAAAGGTTTGTGGCATGCATAAAAAATTGTTTTGCATATACAGGGCATCACTGAACGAGAATAGCTATTTATGTGAGAGGAGGTACTGTACCATATCGGAAGTCACATATTCTAGAGAATGTTTTTTTTAACACTGAGATAAAAATAACGGTGTATGGTTTTATGTCAATAAAACAGGGGATGTCAGAGCAATGATGTTAGACTTTCAAAGCCGTTTACAGGGCCTTCTGATAAAAACAGTTCTACTTGGTTTCATTTGATGAGTCATCTTTCTCCTTCTCTCTTACCAAACTATTTTACTTTGTGTCTTTGTGACTGACAGTTAGTTGACACTTATTTAATTACTACAGAATTCCACTTTGTCTGTTTAACAATGTGTTACCTTCATTTTCTTATTTTCAAAAAAAGAGTTTACATTTTTTACTATGTTTTATATGTTTGTTTTGTCTTTAATAAAAATTTTAGGTTGTTTACCAATAAGTTACCTTGCTTTCTTGTTAAGTTGTTGAAGCTGACAAACCAAGTTGCAATATTCTTCTGTCAGACGACAATTCTCTTCTTGTCTGGCTTTCTCTACTTTTTCTAATTTAGCCCTAACATCAATGTACTGATCATGAAGTTTAGTAATACGACGTTTCTGTTCTGACTTCGTGATAGAATTTTCTTCATCACGTTTCTTGAGAACTTGATAATTATATTCTAACTTTTCTTGATTCAACAGGTAAACTGCTTTTACCTGTTGCAGGTGTTGTTGAAGCACCTTCCAGGTAAGATATAAGAAAAAAATCTCATATTATTATCAAAATTTTATCAAACTTAAAACTGACTACAAATATAATAATATTTTACACCTCTTATCTTTTTGACGAAGTAATGAAAATACATTAATGCTGGAGCATTTCATGAGTAAATATTTTAACATTAGTCATGTTTCGACCAAAGTTTCAAACCATAATGATGTACTAGAAAAAGATAGTTACTAAATATACTATATATTGTAAAATTATATATAATGGATTAAAAAATAAAGCTATAAGCTTTCACTATTTTGAGTTGTAGCAACTGAATGGTTCACCTTAGACAAACTAATTGTGCTATGCACAGCATTAAATATCACTTTAATTTGACTTAGGTTTCACATATCTTGCTGCTGGTCTTCTCACAAGATTGAGCTTTCATTCATGACATTAAGAAGGTACAAACTGAAATGGCTAGAAAACTTCAAGAGTTCACCCAGTTCCTTATCCATCTAAACTCAATCTCTGGAGTGTTCTACTAAATGTAACATAAACTTGTTCAGGCAATTCCTTATAACAACTAGTAATACCAGAGAGAAACATGTACTAATGAAAGAAATATCTTAACTTGTAATGGACTAAAATGAAACATTGCAACAACCAGGGTCAATTGGAATAATTGGAATACACATTTTATCACTTACAAAAAAACAGTTAGTAAATTCATACCTAGCTAAGAATTGATACAACCTCTAGTAAACAATATAACATAATTATCACTATTATTAATTTCAATAAATAAAGGAATTAGGAAAAAAGAACCAGAAGAAGAAAAAAACCTAATTTTGAAATAACAATCTCTCCCTGAAGAAGAAAGGTCCACCTTTCAAAAGCGCTTGGGTTAAAGGGTTTTTATTCATTTGAAATAACAAAATATTCCAGAATTAAACCATTTAAAAATCAGTAACAATCATCAATAATTCGTTCTAACTATGTCTCATGATGAGGCCCGGCATGACCAGATGGTTAGGGTGCTCGACCTGCAATCTGTGGGTCGCAAGTTGGAATCTCCATCCCACCAAACATGCCTGCCTTTTCAGCCATGGGGGTGTTATAATGTGATGGTCAATCCCACTATTCATTGGTAAAAGAGCAGTCCAAGAGTTGGCAGTGGGTGGTGATGATTAGCTGCCTCTAGTCTTACACTGCCAAATTAGGAATGGCTAGTGCAGATAGCCCTTGTGTTGCTTTGTGCAAAATTCATAACAAACAAACAATGTCTCATGAACTAACTCATTTAAGATAAAGGCAAGGTTTTTTTAGTGGTTAATATCTGAATGTCATTACTAAGGAGGCAGCCCCACAGTGGCACAGCAGTATGTCTGCGGACTTACGACGCTAGAAACCGGGTTTCAATACCCGTGGTGGGCAGAGCACAGATAGCCCATAGTGTAGCTTTGTGCATAACTTCAAAGAAACAAACAAGCTAAGGAGGCGTGTGTCAGTTTTATAATAAAAACATACTCAAATTCAATATGTTCCAGCTAGAAGGTAAGTTAGCTCTTTAATATAACAAAAATTCATAGTTGATCTAATGACAGAAGGAATAATAAATAAATGGTAAAGAAAACCATAGCAAATTATAATTTGTGATGTAAATATAAGCAACAGAAACATAGTAGAAATATGTAATAAAGAAAAAACTGTTAATTATAATTTATAATGTAAATACAAATAATAGAATCATAGTAGAAATTTGTACTAAAGAAAAACTATTAACTATAATATATAATGTAAATACAAATAATAGAATCATAGTGGAAATATGTACTAAAGAAAAAACTGTTAATTATAATATATAATGTAAATACAAATAATAGAATCATAGTGGAAATATGTACTAAAGAAAAAACTGTTAATTATAATATATAATGTAAATACCAACAATAGAATCATAGTAGAAATAAGTACTAAAGAAAAAACTGTTAACTATAATATATAATGTAAATATCAACAATTGAATCATAGTAGAAATTTGTACTAAGGAAAAAACTGTTAACTATAATATATAATGTAAATACCAACAATAGAATCATAGTAGAAATATGTACTAAAGAAAAAACTGTTAATTATAATTTAAATAAAAACAATAGGATCATAGTAGAAATATGTACTAAAAAAACTGTTAATTATAATTTAAATAAAAACAATAGGATCATAGTAGAAATACGTACTAAAGAAAAAACTGTTAATTATAATTTATAATGTAAATACAAATAATAGAATCATAGTAGAAATTTGTACTAAAGAAAAACTGTTAACTATAATATATAATGTAAATACAAATAATAGGATAATAGTAGAAATATATAATACAGAAACAACTGTTAATTATAATTTATAATGTAAATACAAACAATAGAATCATAGTAGAAATATGTAATAAAAAAACACTGTTAATTATAATTTAAATGAAATGTCTTACATGAACATCATTTTCCAGTTTCAGTTTACAAAGATTATAATCTTCTGCATCTTTGAAATACACCTGATGTAGTTGGTGTTCAAATTCTTCAACTTGTTTTTCTCTAGCTATCAAATATTCACCCTGGAAAGAAAGACAATGGTGCAAGTGACAAAGAAGTACACCTAGAGCCAAAAAGTAAATAATTATTAAAATAACCATTCAGTCTTCATATAAATCTGTTTCCTGTTAAAAACTGCCATTAACATCAACATCTGATTCAAGGTATAAAATGAGCAACATAAGGTTTTGGTATACAAGATAAATTTGTCTATAATTTATAAAACAAAAATACACTTACTTCTTGCTCTATTGTATTATTCAGAAACGTCTCCCATTTTTTTGTATGATCAGTCATCAACTTTTGTTCATCTGTCTGAAACGCATCCTATAAACGAAATAATATAGTAGACAAATACTGAAAGTGACTAACAGTTTTAACAAGACATCCTACAGAAAAATCATACAGTGGACAGACATGAGCTGTGTCTTCCAGTTTTCACAAGACATCCTAAAGAAAAACTGTGTAATGGATGGATATGAACTGTTTCTTACAATTTTCAAAAGACATCCATTAGAAAAATCAGACATATTGGATCAACATGATCTGAATCTTCCAGTTTTCAAGATATAATGAATGGAAATGAATGGTTTTTAACAGTTTTTAAAACTGAACATCAGCTTTTCTTGAAATAAAAACAATAAACAGTATCATAAAACTATCATAATAGAAACATGCACATTGGAGATTAATTTTGGTTAAATATTAGACAGAATAAGTGAAATAATCAGTATTACAACTCTGTGTTTTTAGAGAAAAAAGAGTTCAAAGTTTATGACAGCTTAATGTAAATTCAAGAATATTCACTGTGTAAATGATTATCTTATAATAAAATGTCTTATGGAAATCTTCACTGTATTAAATATTATCTAGTAATACAATGCCTTAAGCAGTATTACTTAGTTAAAGATGGAACTTCCAAAAGATGAAATGATTTATTTTTACATTAGATATGATGGTTTTAAGAGGAACTTACTTCTATATATTTTAACTCCTGTTTGCTTGCACTGGATAAGTCTGTAACCAACTGATCAATTCTCTCTTTTATGCAATTTATGTCTCCAGCATGTTTCTTCAGGGCTTGAACATATTCTTCCTCTTTTAATCTAAGCTCCTATTAATATATATATAAAACTTATAAACATTATCTCCCTGTTAATTCCTTGCTCTCTTTAATCTCAGCTTCTATTAATATATATACAACCTACAAACATTATCTCCCTGTTAATTCCTTGCTCTCTTTAATCTAAACTTCTATTAATATATATACAACCTACAAACATTAATCTAAGCTTCTATTAATATATGTACAACCTACAAACATTATCTCCCTGTTAATTCCTTGCTCTCTTTAATCTAAGCTCCTATTAATATATATACAACCTACAAACATTATCTCCC